AACCAACCAACCAACCAACCAACCAACCAACCAACCAACCAACCAACGGTCTAAATCAAACCTAGCACCTTCATCAGCTTGTTGCTAGAAGCCTGGCCCTCACTTGCTTCTTGGGAATCCCCTAGAGGACTGCTGCAGCCAAGTGGCCAGTCCATCCCTGGAATTTCTGCCTCAGTGAGCCTGGGATGGGGTCTGAGAATCTGTCTGCCTGTCTAATGTTTCCTGCTGCTGGCTCAGGGACCCTGCTGAAAACTGCTTTCCATCAAACATCTTCTATGCTCAGAGCTCCACCCCATCCAATCAGCCTATCTGTCAGGACACCCCCAAAGTGCTGTCTCCTCCTGTGTTTCTAGTATGTCAACCCTAACTTGGTGACCTCCTTGAGGCTCCACACAGCTGGTGCTCACTAAATGCCTGACAGCATCTCAGCATGAGTGCCTAGGAAGGCTGTGATTCCACTGGCCTCCTGCCCTGTGCTGACAAGAGTCAGCACACAGGAAGTACCAAAGGAAGGAGGAAGGAAGGAGGTAGGAAGAAGGGACTCCAGAAAGAACAAGAAAATCACTCTGCTTCCCCGTGAAAGCTCCTGGGGCAGCTGTAACTAAATGCTACAAGCTTGGTGGCATGCAATATCTGGGATTTAGCTCTCATTCTAGAGACTTAGGTCTGAGGTTACCATGTGGTAGGGCCACCTTCCCTCAGCAGCATCTCGGGGAGGCTTCTTCTGGCCTTCTCATGTGGCTACTGGTGCCCTTGGGAGCTGGCCTGGGGTCTGTGTTCTGTGGTCATGCTGAGCTGGATAAGGCCTTTCAACTCCACATCCTTCTCACTAGAGTGAGGGGATTCAATCTGGAGAAGGTCGGACGGATACTATAGAGTGGGCTGTAGGGTAGGGAGAGAGGGCGGCAGCATACAGGTGACCCAGTGCACACCTTCCAGGAGGCAGGAGGCTCAACACCCACCCCCTCCCCCCTCCCCCGCTGGCCTCCTAAGGAGAAAGATAAAAAGTGCTTGGCCAGCCAGTGGCTAAAGCTTTGTACTCCTTAATCAGGCTCAGGGGCTCAGGGTACTCCCTGGTCCCTGCCCAGGGTCCCTCATTAGCTGCCCATTAGTGTGCATGACTTAGAAATTGGCCACTGGGCTGTAAAATTCCATAATCTTTTAATTCTTTGGGGCTTTGATATCCACTCCCTGCCACCCCCTCAGGGCTCTGTGACCTTTCCCAAGCTGCAGAGGGGGCGCCCCGCAGGGCTCCATCTGCACGGGGAGGGGGGGCAGTTAGGCCACTCTCTGCTCAGCCAGGGCCACAGCACTGGAGCAGGAGACAGGCAGGGAGGTGTGCACAGGCACCCTGGGGATGTGCAGGTGGCGGCTCCCAGGGCACTGCTCTTGGGCACACAGGCCTTCCAGCCTCTCCCGTCATTCTCCTGCGGGCCATTCACCTGCACATCAGGTCTGTTCTGTTCCTCCCCACAGAGTGGATGGCAGGGACTCTCCCCGATGCTTAGGAAGTTCTGGATCACGTGAGGTAGCTTGTGGGAGTGGCCACCTTCCTTGGTATTGGGACTCTGGCTCGATCACCTGTGAAAACAGTGCCTCTTGCCTATTGTCACACATGACAAGCAAGAATATTGTCAGCAGTTAGTGCTGAAGCTTGGGTACAGGTCACATGACACTGCCTAAGGGTTTTATTTTTCTTCTTCCTCAGCCTCATAGGGAGCTTCTAGAAGTTGCCAGTGCCAGTCCATCAGCACCTCAGGCTACAGTGGTTTGATACAGGACTCCTAACAGCTGTCCAAGAAAGCCTGAAGTGTTGAAAAGGGAGCACAGCGCCATGCTGACTAGGTGTAGCTTCCTGGGGGCTCACAGCCTGCAGAGGCAAGCCAAGGAATGCTGGTGCCTCAGAGCTAGGGCTCAGCATCCATGCCAGGTCCCATAGGCTTTTAAGCTGAGCCTGGAGCAGTCATGGGACCACCGCAGGAGCCCCCTCATGGAGGTCAGGCCTGCTGAAATCTCCTTAGATGTGTGTCCGAGGCCTAGCTACTCCTTCCTGCAGGGGCAGAGGGCTGACTGGGCTAACTTTGGGGTTCAGCACCCATGCTGGGGTAGGCATCTTAGTCACCCATGTTCTTGTAACAAACTCTACTGAGCTCACTGGTTCCACAAGCCCTTGGTGTCCTACCTAGGGTATACAGGTGGTTTTGTATCTCCTCACAAACTGTTACTGTAACAGGTGTCTTTGTAAGAGTGCAGGAGTGGCCAGGGAGCATCAAGGACAGAAGGGCCTACAGTGATGTCCTTGGGCAATGAGGACAAGCCATGAGCCAAGAAAGGCAGAAGGCAGTCCTCTAGGGGCCGCCTCGGTCTCCCTGCCCCTCAGTCAAATAAGGATTCTTCAGAGCTTCCAATCTGAGGAGGCAACACTGGGAAACCGGTAGTTGTTTGCAGACACCCAACCAGGTCATTTGTCACCCTGGTCCTTGAGCAACCTGACGGTAGGGTCCTCAGGCTCCTGGGCAAGGGCTGGGTCTGTGGTTACTATCCTCCTGGGTCCTCTTGTGCCCTCCCCTAATCTCGGGGCTGCTTCTGCAGGTATAATCAAGAGTCCTGTCTAAAGACGGGGAGAAGGGGATTGGACTTTGGAAGTCTAAAGAAGTCTTAGATTCACCTCTCTTGCCAATAGTGTGTCCAGGAAGAAAAGGAAAAGATAGAAAACCAAGAGGCCTGGGGCAGAGCACAGCTGGGGCAGAGCATGGAGTATAGGGCTGGAGCTTCTGCTAAGCCCATAGACTCTGCACCCACCACGGCCTGACCACAGACCAATCAATGTTCCTTCCCTGGTCTGTAGGGCCACAGACCCTTTCTCAGTGTCTCAGCTAACTGTTCCCGGGGTCTGGCCCAATCACAATGATCCCCTGGGGAGGTATGGGTGAGCCTGTGAAAGGAAGGGAGCAGAATTAACGTAACTCAGCATGTTAACTGAGTACCCTCAGGAGCTTAGGTACATTCCCAGCACTGAGCTACCATTACCACTAATTCCTGAGCATTTTCAACACCAGGCCCCTTTCTTCTTCCCAGCCCCCTTCTCTTCCAGCCCTGGCAACAGCTAATCTGCTTTGTCTCCATGGATTTGTCTGTTCTGGACATTTCACGCCAATGCAGTCACAGGAGATGCAGCTTTTCATATCTCACCATGTGTGTTTGAGGTTTATCACACTGCAGCACAAGGCAGAGCATCCTTCTAGGCTAGTCTCCTCCACCAACAGCACACAGCGGCCTCAGCTACTTGGCCATAGCAGAACTCTGCATGTTTCCTGCAGCTTTGATTCAGCCACTTCTGGGCATGTCTACGAATGGGGTTGCAGAGTTTTACTGTCTCCAGTGCCACACACTCTTCCAGATGGATTAGAACAATGGGGGCAAGGCCCTACAATTTCTGTTTCTAGGCCACTCCTCTGTGCTTTCTAGACACCAATGAATGAAATCAAGATCCTGTTAGTATACACTAGGGGAGTGGCGGATATTTGGGAAAAACAAAAAGCAAAAACCAAAAAAACCAAGAACTTCTCTGGAAACAGTTACTTAATCCACACAGAGAAAATGGACAACCTCCTGCAATTTGTGGCTCAGCAGAGCAAAGGCCCAGCCTCCCTCACCTCCTTGGGCTTCCTTGCTCAGGCCAAGCCAGCCCAACCTGAGGACAGCACAGTACTGCAGGCTGCAGAGCAGCCTCAGCACGCTGCCCACTTCAGCTGGTGCCCAGGGGTGAAGTCTTGGCAGGCCCCGAGCAGTTGCAGTGGAGCTAGCCTGGCCCCAGGGCCTGTCTTCAGCTTCCAAAGGTACAGGAGTCCTTTCTTTGTGTGGGCCCAGCATGGACAAACCCGAGTGTGTAAAGCCTTGGATATGGGTGTCCAACACAGATCAAGCACGAGGCCCGAGAGCACACACCACTTAGGAGCTGGCATGGCTAGGCTTGAGGTGTTAAAATGTCTAGGGACCCAGTAAGGAAAGAAGCCTGTGTTGGAGACATTCCAATGTGGTGAAGGGATTTTGTGGCAAGCTTGCGGGCAGCAGCTGGGTATAGGTAGGAACTGTCTGTCTAGCAGGCAGCACGCTGTCACCAGAGCTCACTGGTCCCGAGCCCACAGCAACTCACCCTCACAGGTCAATGTGAAGGATGTGTCACTGGCTGTTTCACACAAGAGCCAAAGCCCAGAGAGGCCACTCACAGTCATGACAAGTGGCAGAGATGGGACCTGAACTGGTTTCACACATTCCACACTTCAGGGTTGTTACCTCAAACTGGTGACAACTGCCCAGACCTACCTGCCCCACTCCTTCAGCCTGTAGCCCCTCTCATTCCTGCTCTGCTGGGCCCTGTGCACCAGTGAAATATTCACCCTAGAGGTCCTCTGAGCTGAGGGTGACAGTGAGCCCATGTCCCTCCCCCCTGAGAGTGACAAAAGGCTGCACACTAATCATTCCTTCGGCAAGTAAGAGCTCCATGTAGAGACAGGGTCTACTGTATGCTAAGGTAGCCAGGGCTGCCTGTGGCTTCCTGGAGCACCTGGAACAGGGACCCAGCACGTTGTGGGCCTTAGTAATACCTCCTAGACCAACAGCAGCCATGAGAGCTGCCACAGCTACCAGTGGCCTGCAGACCTGCCAAGCACAAGATACCCAGGGAGTCTTCCTCGTTTCCTTGGATTTCTTACTCTTGACACACGGCAGCCCTGGTCACAGCCACAGGCCTCCAGGCAGCTGCTGACAGCCATGGTATACAGGGCTAGTGCCTGGCAGTTGACATGTGTGATATACTGGTTAGGCAGGGATTCCATGCTGAGGATGCTGGGACTCAGCACACTTAAAGCAATGGAGGAAGCCCAAGCCTGATCAAAATCAATGTTCATGCTTTAAAGGGCACCATCAAGAAGCGGAAGATCCCTCAGGAGGGGAATGCATGTCAAGTCTGATACGGAACTCCTACCTGAACCTGTAAAGAAAGCTCACAAGTCAGTAACAAAGATTCCCATGACCCTATTAAAAACCAAGCACAGGGTGGAAACTGCATTTCTACAAGGAAGGTGCACAGTTGGCCATTCTGCCTGTCTCCAGGACGACACAGCAAAACCACAGGGATGCCACTACAGTGCTGCAGCCAGAACACCAGAGACCAGCATGGGCCAGGACACAGAGAAGCCACAAGTCACACTGCTGGCAAATGTGTGAACGACTGCCCTACTTCAGGAGGTTCCACAGTTCCTCCAAACACATGACACCATCGCTCCTAGGAAGACGCCCAAGAGAAACACAAACATCACCAGCATGGGAGTGGCAACACTATCTACAGTAGCCGGCAAGCCGTCTTACCCACAGCAGAATATTATTCAGCCACGAAAAGGAATGACCTCTGAGACCTACTACACCATGCATGAAGCTTGAAGACATGATGTGAACAGAAAGAAGGCAGCTGGAGAGATCACACAATGTGATCCCCTAACGGAGGACACCTGAATGGACAAGTCACTGAAAGCGGACTGGTGCAAGGCTGGGGAAGAATACAGGCGACTGCGAATAGGCCTGAGCTTTCCTCGGGAGTGATAAGGATGTTCTGGAGCTAAGAGTCAAGTCAGCCACATGACCTTGTGAGAACAGTAGGGCTCAGCGAAGCATAGCCTGACGTGGACATTTTTGCAGAGTGTGAGCTAGCTAATGCAGACTCCACTCGGAGATGGGAAGGTGGTGAGGGGTCTGGTGTATAACACGCTCCAGCTTTGTAAGGTTATGCATATTTATTGAAAATTTCCTTCACCAACAACGGTGAAATCAAGACCCCAAATTACAAAACATAATGGCAGTTGATAGTTATAAAAATAAAGCGAAGGCCTGCATTTCCCGGATCTGTTCAAGTTCCCTTCAGTTCAGTCTGTCTTCTCATCAAAAAGGAGGTCACGGAATCTGACTCTTTATGATGTCATTGCAGAAGACTGCACTCAACTGACAAACAAAAACAACAGCTTTGCTTCCAAATAGCACAAGTCTTTAAAGTGCCTCTCCCCACAATAAATATAGAAAATAGCCTGTACCAAGCATGTCTTCACTTGGTCAGGCTTGTAGCATTATGTAGAAAGTGTGTCCCGACAGCCCTTCAAGGCTCTGCGTCTTTGGTGCACTGTCACTGGGCCGGATGCCACCGGAGGCTGAGCTACTGAGTGCTTCCTGCCCAAGCCCAGCAGTGAGGTACCGCAGGATGTACCTCAGAGATGCCTGGGTAGAACACACTAACCCAGCCACAAGCTGGAGATGAGGTTCCTTGGAAACAGGCACCTCCCAGGATGCTCTCTGATGCCCTGTGGCCACTGTGATGTCACACTGATGGGGCCCTTGGGGGATGGGCCTGCTGTGCAAGTTGTGGACGCTTTGCCCTGGGCCTCCTCCGCTTCGGCCGACTCTTGGCCTTGCTGATCTGTACCACGAAGAAGGCCAGGGCTACCATGGCTCCAAGGAAGGCAAAGACAGGGATGGTCTGGCCCACCTCCTGGTTGTAGCGGCCAGGCATGATCCCTGCAAGAGGACAGTCATTGGTCAATGGCCACAAAGCAACAGCTATAGCCTTTCTGAGAACCAGCTCATCAGAGAGCAAACAAATGCTAACTGACTCCCTTAGCTGGGCTGGCAGGGCAGACCTGACTTGTGAGCAGAGATACGTTATCAGGGCTGCTAACCATAGTGTGTGGATGGGAGGGTCATCAGCTGAGCCAAGCATACCTCTATATATGGGGGAGGGCGTCTCAGACTATTTCTAATCCTGGCCTGGGGAGCGGGGGGAGGCAGACCTTTATCCTGTCACTGCCAGCCTCATCAGCAGGGCCCAGAGAAGCGCCTTCTTCCCAAAGATCAGTGGACATACTGGTCTCAATCCAGAGAGAAAGAGGAGAGCACTAGAGCTCCACTAGCTGAGGAAGAATAAGTGAGGCAGAAAGGTACTAGAGGCCTGCTGGCCACGGTCCCCAAGGGATTAGTAATGCCTCCTGGAGTGGCCATCAGATGAGCCTCAGATTAAAAGTCAGTAACACTGCAAATAAGCAATGCCAAGGGCTCCACTCACCAAGAGCTTACTATCATCAGCCGAACCTGTGGCCGCTGTGGCCTTCAGGATCTTGGCATTATCACATCAAGTTCCCATGGCTGATGTCTAAGGGCTAAAACCCAGAGAAAAACCCCTTGGGAGCTATGAATCTCTACAGTAGTTTCCAGAATAAAAGGACTACAGACACTCAGCTGGAGGCACCCAGGACCAATTCTCCCAGCTAAAACATGGGAACATGGAGTAAGAAATCTATTCAGATCGAAGACCTTATCTGAACTGATGACAAGATGGATCATCTCAGGAGTCTGATGCAGATTAGCCAAGGGCCAGTTCAGCTGTCAAGACAGGCTACATACTTGCTTGCAGGACTTTAGCAAAGGGCATCCAAATTACTTCGAAAAATCTTAAGTGAACCATGTAGCCAACACACTAAATACTGATATTTAAAACATGTCTATAGAGGAGCTGGAGTAACGGCTCAGTGGCTAAGTACACCTGTTGCTCTTGTAGAGGACTGGGTTTGCTTCACAAACTCACACGGTGGCTCACAACCATGTATCTGTAACTTTAGTTCAACGGGTCTGAACTAGAAGAAGAGGGTGCCTAGTCCTCATGGGCACGAGGAACACAAGTGACACGCACACATGCATGCGGACGCTCATGCACATAGAGAAGTATTTTTTAAAAAATTAAAATGTGCATACAGAATTTTCTAGGAGAAACGGCACCTTCATTTCTAGGCCTGCTCTTAGCCTTGCCAATTTGTACTGCAAAGGCAGCCAGGGCTACCTCAGCTCCCAGGAAGCCTGGCTCTCCTTGGGGAGGGGAAACACCTGGAAACCCACAGCAGGATCTAGCAAGAGGCCATTAAGGACTCACCTCCAGGAATGTCCCAGGCACCACTTTCTCCAGGGGACAAAGGTCTCACTTGAGGGCGATTCGATCGGAAGTTGGGCAACACTACTTTATCCAGGTCAATGGAGAGCAGCTTCTGATGTTTCCAAAGATTACTTCCAGGAAATAGATTAAAACAAAAAAAGATAAGCAGCTGTTCTCACCTAGGATGCTTAGCTGATACACAATAAACTGCAAGGACCACAGAGGGCAACGTGAGACCCTCCACCTCTGGTCACCTGACCACCCCCAGAAAAAGGCAGAGTATGTGACCGCTTCTAGGTCCCGAGACAGGCACCAGTGAGGTCCATGGCTGAAATTACAGTACCCGAGGAAGGTCTGTCCTGTGGGCTATAACACAGCCGACCCAAGCCCACTTCTGTTTAACACAGGAACACTGCCAAGCAAGGCCAGAGGACAGTCCAGGCTGGAGCTCTGGAGGAGCAGAGGTCTGAAGGTATCATGGAAGGCTTTTCTGAGGCTCCAAGTAATTACACCCTGCTTTCTGCAAAGCAATGCAGAGAAGGAACTCCACAACCACCACCCAGGAAATGGTGCCAGATGGACTGGTCTGTGGATCAAGAGAGACCAGCACCGGCAATGAGAATAGGGCAGATCTGCAAGTAATCAAATATTGAAGTACAGGTGAGCAGGAGATTGGCCTGCCTATGGTAACCACCAACAAAACATGTGCTGAAACTGTGGGTGCTCAGGTGGGAGTGAGGCATTACTCATCTCTGCTTCCTCTGCAGGAAGTCGGTGAGGCCAGTGCAAGCAGAGCTGAAGAACAGTGACCGATGTACTGCGAACAGCCATGGGCAGCCCGTTGACATCTTAGGGAGAGCTAAGGATACCAATGGAAGGAAGATACTGGAAATGAAGAATTCCTTATCTTCCTATAGTCAGTCCACCTAGAAACTGTTGGTCTATGTCTTCTTTACTTTAGTTGAGAAAAGGCACAGGCAACCAGTCCCAGCAACAGTAACAGAAGCAGCCAGGCAGGAAGCTTGTCACTGGTGAAGGGTAGGAGAGCCCCCAGAGGCTCCTGGCTGAGCTCAGCGTGGCCAGCTCTGACAGCTGCAGCACAGCCTGTTCTGCATGACTTAATGCTACTGCTCAGGATTAGTATGTCTGAAAAGTTAACTGACAAAGTCACAAAACCCATGGCCTCTTACCCATGGCTTCCCAAGTGTGTTGCTAAGTGGACATTGTAACAGTGTCCTGGTCTGGAGCTGCCCCTGGGGACTGAGTGCACTTTGTAGTGGGCCCAGAGGTAAAAGCACTTATTTACCACGGAAGTCTCACAGCACTCTGATGAGGAACAGAGGGTCTACCTTGAGTCAACGTTCCCCCAGCAACGACTGCTAAGGACACCTGATACCCAGCCAAGAACTGGGAAAAAGCTTCACCTCACAGCAATAGAATGTGCCCTTAGCATAGCCAGTGACAACCTGTAGCTGTCTAACACTGGTACAGAACCTTCTAGAGATTCAGAATACATACCGACCTAAGTTTCTGAAAATAATTTCCCTCAAGATGTGACATGTGAGATAAGGGAGCAGTGCAGGGGTGTGGTAAGGAGGGGGTTGCTGAGAGCAAATCAAAATGAAAACTTAGGAGCTGGGCATTATCAGCACCCTAGATAGACTTAGAGCGGGAGGGATTATCTGATGTGGCCAGCCAGATACCAGAAGTGCTGTTATCTGTCCTTGGAGCCTTCAGCGCACACTGGAAGAAGAACTGGGCTTCTGGCACTCTAGCTAACATGGCTGCCCTTCGAGCAGGAACTGATGGCCATATCTAGAATGTAAAGTCTGGTTTGAATGCTAAGGTAACAGAAGGTTCTAAATAAATACGGATTCAAAACTGGAAATATATTCTAAGCTTTAAATGATGCGGGGTGCCTGCAATGGAAGAGCACTCCTCAATTAAAGGTTCAGGAAGAACACTGCAGCTCAAGACCAAGCCTCTGGATAACTTTGTGTGTGAGAGTGCACACACGTGTCTGAGCATGTGGAGCACGGAGGTCAATAGGGTGTCTTCCTTGCTCTTGATATATTTAGGCAAAAGGGCTCTCAATGCACCTGGGGCTTGCTGTTTAGACTAGCCTGGCTGGCCAATAGGCTGCAGGCACTCTCCTGTTTCCACTCCCCGACATGTGATTACAGGTGCATGCTGCTGGACTCAGCTTTTAAAAACAGTGAAAAATCAAAAAACAAAACAACAACAAAACAAACCCAAACATACAAAATTCAAACCAAACCAAACCATGGGTTCTAGGGATCACACTCAGTGCTTGGCAACCACTTTGCTAAGCCATCTCCATGGTACCAGCTGTCTTGTTTTCTGTGACAGATATTCTAAGACATGGTCCTTGAGTGAACCCTGAGGACCTGAGCTCATGGTGATGATAAAGCATGCATGCATGAACACCAGGCCAGGTTGTCTCCTTCTCACAGAATGGATAGGGTTCCCACTCTGTCTATGCCACATCTGTCCATCACTGAACCAAGCATAGTGGCAGCCATGAAAGGGGAGGAAGAAGAGAGGCAGGACGCTGCTTTCTAAGGAAGTCTATGTATGCTGGGAGGGGCTGAGAGGGCAGCATCCACTTGCCCTGCAAGAGTATGTCCAGCAGCTAGCTCTGGGACACCAGGCCCTGTTAATTTTCCCCTATCTTGTCCTGCTTAGGCAAGATGCTAGAGAGAGAAAGGAAAAGGAGAGCAAGGTGGATAAACAGCTTGATATGGCCTGGCTAGAGAGAAACTGCAGTGGGAACTCAGGTCTGAGAAGAATGAGGCAGATGAGATGTCAGGTGAGAGAGGCAGAACACCACAAGGGCACATACAAGTGCAGCACCTGTGGACAAAGCCCACAGCCTACACAGAACACACTTGTGGGTAGACTGCACAGGAGCCAGACCTCCTAGGTGCAGCTTCAGCCCAGGATGCAGGAGCAGAGACCTATCTGCACTCCACATACAACACCTTGGATAGGGCACACAGCTGCAAATGACCGCTCCCAGATCCCCAGCTGGACCCAGAGCTTAGCTTCTGCTCAAGCGACAGCACTTGGCTGGACCCCACCTTCCTTTCCAAAGCACTGGAATGCTGGACCCCACCAAGATCAATATGGGGGGTGCTCATTTCCACAACTGTCAGAAAATGAGAGCTAGACCAGATTATCTAACAATGATGTCAGCAAAATTGTATTTGCTCTATTAAAAAATGAGTCATGGGCCCCAGAAGAACAATGAGGAAAACACAGGCAGACACTGACCTGGGCGCCGTCTCATTCAAAGGCTGTGGCTTGGCCCATGACAAGTGTGGACAGGCTGGAAGGGGCCGAGGTTTCGGGTCTCCCAAGTGGGCCTCAAGAACTTTGGAGTAGCGATGAAGGTGGTTTCCTGTGGTTAGCAGCAGTAAGAACAGAGCAGGTAATCACCGTTGTAACAATACAGGAGAGAAGGTAGCTTTGAGTGACTGTACCTTTCGCCGACCAGCTCACTGTTCTGTCAACCTACCCGCCACAGGGTGCCTGGTGCCCTTCAACACAGCCACACTGTGTGCAGGAGTGCTGCTACTGAACCTTTGCAGACTATCGAGCACACACAGAAGGCCACCAAGGACAGTGCCACAGAAAAAATGCTTTTCTCTAATACTTAACTCCCTGGCCAAGAAAGCAAACCAATTCCATCTCTCTCTCTCTCTCTCCACTTTTGTTTTTTTCGAGAACAGCCCTGGCTGTTCTTGAACTCTTTCTGTAGACCAGCTGTCTTTGAACTCAGAGTCGCCTGATTCCTCTATTTCTCTATGCTGGGATTACAGGCATGTGCTACTAGGCTCAGCTGGTTTTCTACATTTAAATCAGTGCTACCCCACACTGTAGCCACCCACACACTGGCACTGAGCAAATGGAATGGGTGCCACACATCTAAGTAATTTTTAAAGCATTAGATTGAAATATATTATGAAAATGAATGTTACCTTTTCTGTTTTGTGTGGTACATGTTCATGTGTGTGCATAGGCCAGAGATTGATGCTGGATGTCATCCTCACTCTAAATTATTCTCATGGAATCTGGAACGCACAGATTCAGCTAGACTGGCTGGCCAGTGTCTTAGCTCACTCCAGAGCTGAGGTTACAGAGATGCTCTGCTGCACCCAGTGTTTCTGAGGCTGCTGAGGGATATCTGGTTTTTTGTTTTTTTGTTTGTTTTTGAGATAGGGTTTCTCTGTGTAGTCTTGGCTGTCCTGGACTTGCTTTGTAGATCAAGCTGGCTTCGAACTCAGAGATCCACCTGCCTCTGCCTTCCCAAGCACTGGGATAAAAGGCATGTGGTACCACTGCCCGGCTGCTGAGGGAGGATATGAACTGAAGTTTTCATGCTTTCTGGCAAACACTTTGTCAACTGAGCCACCTCCCCAGCTCTCCTTGTTTAATGTAGCTATTGGGATTTCTTTCTTCAGTTTTGCTTCCTTTTATTTTGAGATAAGGTCTCACTATTAAAAGACCAGCCTGGCCTCCATTTAGTCTCTTCCATTAGCCATCCAAGTGCTGGGATCATAAGCATACAACACCACATCTGTCTGTTACTATAGAATTCGGGCAGGGCTACAAGGAAGGGAACATTTGGTTCTTTGAGCACATGAACACCAACCCACATAGATCCTGAGGTGCAGGCTCACCTCACACAGCCCAAGTGACCTAACTGTTTAAGCTCTCTCCCGCCTGTCTCTTCATCTGCACACAAAGAGCAATACTGTTCCTTTTACAAGATTACTGAGAGACATTCTTGAGTTAATCCTTACAATGTCAGCCTGGTGATGACTCAAGGGCTAAGAGTGTTGCTGTCTTGCAGAGAACAGGAGTTCAGGCCCATCACCTACGCTGGACAGCCTCCAGCTCCCTCCAGCTCTGTGGGGCACCAACGCCTTCTTTTGGCCTCCCCAGGAACTTGCACACACTACACATTTCCCTCGTACACAAAAATAAGGTATTTTAAATAATGCTGGACCCTGGGAGAATACCCATATACAGGGCCCACAATTCCTGTCAACCCTGAGATGAGGTAGATGGACTATCAGCAACCACTGTGAAGAATTCACGGCATGGCCTGGTACTGGCAAGTAGTACTATGTCTTGATGCAGCACTGAACTGACTCAAGTCCCTGTTGAGACACCATGAGAGATACTCACCTTCCATCCTTTCAGGAGGGGTCAAACCAGCTCCACTGGGTGGACGCTGCCTGTTCCCTGAATGGCTGAGGCTGGGAGGGGTCACACCATATGATGTGTACTGAAGGAGCGCATCCAGAAGCCAAAAGCAGTCTGCAGAATCAACAGGCACACTACTTAGGATTCAATTTTCGAAAGGGAATCCCTCCAGAAAAATTGAAGAATACTAGCTCCCATAAAAGGGGGAAATTGAGGTTTAGAAGCCAGAAGTTTAGGTTAATGCATAGCTGATACCCCCAACAGGCTCTTCTACTCTTTACAAGAATGCTTTCTCCACAGGCAGAGTTCCAGTCCACCCAGGACAGTCTGTTCCAGCAGCAGCCGACTGTAGGCAGGTTTTAGTCTATGTCCCAGGGCTCTGGGCAGCTTAGCACCACTGTGACTAGATTGGACCGCCTGCCTGAGTGTCACACAGCTCTGGACAGCTCATGGGCAAAGACAGAACAGGGTTCATTCACAGACAGCAAGACCATGTGACAACCACTGAAAAAAGAATGGCCTCTACAAAAGGAGCTCCAAGGGCATGAGCTGTCTGTCATCAACGATCTGAAACCATCCTGGGAACAGGAAATAGGTTTGAACTGAGGGAACATACATGGGAAGGTAAATTCAAGATTAGGAGAAAGTCTATTATTTGAGTCCGAGGTTCTAACCAAGATTGGCCAACTCTTTCCCAAACTTTCAGAATCTGAGAATCTGAGCAACTCTCACTCAGAGCCTCACAAAGGCTCCTTCCTAAGGAGGCTGCCGATGCTCCTATCCTAAACCTGGTCTCCCTCTGTCCACTCCCTCCCTCCCTCCTACCCCTATTTACTCAGCCCAAATCCCATTAACACCTATTTGGACTACAGCATCTTCAGGAGTGGGAAAGGTTGTTAAGTACTCTGCACTAGGAAAAGCATGCACTACTGGCCAAGTGCCAAAAGCCCCAAGGACCCAAAGAGCTGCCGTCTGAAATGTACAGGCACGGACAGTCTCTTTAGGCATTTAAAATTTTAATGAAGACTCTTACCAGGAAAGCTTAGACCTTAAAGAGAATGTCTGTGGAAATAAAACATTAATCTCCTATCTGCTGTGACTTTAAACCTAACTTTTCATTTTAAAAAATAAAGCAAATCATATTCTTAGCTACTGAAATCCAGCTGACATCAACTTGAAACTGGGGAAAGGTGCGACATCCAGCATGTGTCCATGTCACCACTGTCTGATCACCTCACAGTGTCCAAGACAAGACTTGAGTCCTGACTTGGCAGCATCTTCCCAGATAAAGACCTGCAGCATTTCCCCTGCTCCATCCCTAAAGTGAGAAAATGAAATCCGTACCCAAGCACAGACCTCCAAGAGAGCCAAAGGAGGCATAAAAGAAAACTAGCTCTGCTCTCTTTGCTTCCTGTCCTTGAGAAAATAACAGAGGCCCCTGACTGACAAAAGCTCTCAGCTTACAGGAGTGCAACAAACAGGGCCTCTAAGACAGATGTCTGGGAAGAGAGGCCAGATCAGAGAATAAACACACATAACTTAGCAGGACACCTGAAGACAAAACCTCGTCAACTGGGTTAAAGAACTTCCTACTAAACAGGTGACAGAGACTCATGCCTGTCACAGTCAGATAGGAAAACAGGTGGAATACTGATGCCTGTAAAAGTTTGTGTCCTTATGTATTAACCTTCAGGTATATCTAGAAATATCCCAGCAATCAAAGTACCCAGGACTCTTATGTCTGGCTCTTGTAGGCAAGTACCTATTCATTCTCCAGCTTCTGGCCAGTATCATTCCAGGGACAAAGGAGAGAGGACCGTGTACCCAAATCACAAAGCCCATGGGCTGCTCCTTCTCTTTTATGGACTTGCTGGGTCCTGAACCCAGGGCCTTGCATGTCTGAGGCAAGGGCTTTGCCACTGAGCTGCAGCCCAGCCCTCCTTCGTGCTTTCTTCTTACCCTTCTGTCTGTGACTGTCATCCAAGCAGTTGGAGTCTCCATACAGCACAATACGACCTCCACCTTCAGCTGGAATCTGATAAAGCCCCAAAATGGGAACATTTTCAACAACTGCTGTCTCTTGTTTTAAGACCTCCAATCCTGCAGTAAGAATGAGAACAGCAGTTCTCCTGAGGAAATTACTGATTTTCTAGTTGCCACTTGACCTGTTTGCCCTACCTGACACAAGACTAGTAAAATCAACATTCAGTCAAAAGAGTGCAAATCTTTACAACAGGGAAGCAGTATTTGAAGCAGTATTAATTTTGATTTTAACAAAATCCAGCCCCCACAAAACTAGTATCCACAGTGCAGTGTGCACCGACATCACAGGCTCGATGCTGTATTATGTGAGAGGGACACACGCACACAGCTAATAACCATGTGTCCATCCACACATCATTTAGGTATAAGACTTGACGAAGCACATGCCTTAGCAATAATAGCACCTCTCACCTGCCAAGCAGGCCACACAACCTGAAACGCTTAATGAACTGAGATGTAAAAAGTACCAGTGCCCTGTAGCTGCCAAAAGTAGCCACACTGTGTACCCTAAGAGCAAGGCCTGCCTCAGCACTAGGTGCCAGAGAGCATCAGAATCCAGCACTGTGCCTGCTTATCAGCTCTGAAATGCCTCACCTCTGTAGAACAAAATAAGAGAGTTAACAGAACAGACACAGATAACACATTTAGCCCCATGGCTAGAAAAGTTTTGTTATTTCGTTGTTTTTTTCCTTTTATTTCCTTTTCTTTTTCTTAATGCTCTCTTTTGTTTGAATTCTGAGCCACAGTCTGAGCCATTTTTTCCTTTTCTTGTTCTTTGGTAATACTGGGGCTTGAACCTAGGGCTCGGTAAACACTCTACCACTGAATCCCACCCCCACCCTGTTTCTTTCTAAGTCTGATAAAACAGGGTATCATGCTAAGTCACCCAGGGAGTCATAAAACTTGTGATTCTCCTGCCTTAGTTGCATGAATAGTTGGGATGACAAGCCTGTGCCACTTTGTTTAGCAATTTTAACTTGCTGAGCTTTGAAAATAAGGCCTTTTCTGCTCTAGAGTAACATGCACCCCAAAGTCCTACCTTGTATCCAAAGACTACCCAAGTTAACACCAAGCAATTGACTTTTAGACTAAACTATAACACCAAGTAAAACATGCATCATTAAATCTATTTTTATTACCCCCTTCGCCAAAATGCTAAACTGCAGGAGGCAGCAAGCAAGCTAGGAGGCCATGGCTCTTAGCCCTGGAGCATGGCAAGCCTCTGAGAGCAACATTTACAAAGGACTAACTTATGATGAGTTGGGCCAACACTGAGCAGATAAAATCACTGTGCTTAAACTGTGGCCTCAAACAGTTAAGTTGAGAAACTTAGTTTCATCGTTTTCAACTGATAAAACTGTCTTCCTATTACAGAAAAACAGCCATCTTGACAGTGGTGTGGCCAGTCATTCTGAAGACAGGCCATCAGCATTCAGGAGGAAATGGCTCCATCAGCTCATGTTCACAAGCTGTCATGTGAATACTCAGTCTCCTGGAACTTAGCAGAGATAAGACATGTCTTACAGCTCAGAATCCCAGCTCTGGAGTGACAGCCATAGAAGAACGTTCTGTGGTCCTGTCCCATGCTTTGTACCTAACTTTCAAAACCAGAGGCAGTCTGGTTTGTCCCTGCTCTCCTCTCCACTCAGCAGGTAGGCTCTGTGTACTCAGTGGTCTGTCATTTACACTAGGGGCCTGGCCCAGGCTTGAGGGATGCTTGCTACAGGTAAACACAGACAAACAGCAAGCCTCCTGAAAGGGAAGATAGTGTTTTAACCTTTGACTTTTCATCAGGTTAAGAACTCTCAAAATTAATTCCCAGTACTCAGGAGGCACACACAGGTGGATCTCTGTGAATTCGAGATCAGTCTGGTCTACAAAGCGAGTTCCAGGTCAGCCAAGACTACACAGAAAAACCCTGTCTTGAAAAACCAAGCCAACCAAGCCAGCCAACCAACCAACCAACCAACCAACCAACCAACCAACCAACCAAAACCAAAAACCAAAAGCAAAAAGAACAAAAAAAAAAAAAAAAAAGAACTCCAAAGATCTAAACTCTAAAGAGATTATGATATAGCAGTGTGTCAATCACAGAACCCTTAGACTGTGACAAAGACAAGTTTGAGCTGCATTCTGAAGAAACCTCATTTCTTTTGCAGATCACACACATATATTCAAATTATCAGCAAGACTTTGTCTTGCCCATTTTGGGATCCCCCGGAGTCCATGCCTCAGTAGGTACTGTACAATACTACAATGAGTTTTACCAGGAATCAGAACAGATGGAAGAGAAGGCCCAAGACTTCTAATGACATTCCTAATGCCCAATAAAACATGCAGAAGTGGGCTGTGAGGTACATACAAGGATGCACTGAACACCACTGAACTAGATGCTTCAGAAGAGTGAGTGTAGTAGATGAAGTACACAGTAAAGCTGGTGGGGCGGGGGGCCGGGGACGGGGGAGATAAAGGACAGGAGAGGCCTGTGCCCTTTCTTTACCTTGATCCTTGAAAGTCTGTGTGATCACAACACCATCTTCTGGAAACTTGGCGATGCTGCACCCCGACGCATAATACACTGGAAAACAGATGCTCACCATTAAGGGAGCAGAGATGCCCAACCCTCGACTCACTGACCCAGCGTGCATTTCCAACATGCTCCACATCACTCATATTTATTTTTAAAGATGTTACTCTGAAAAGACAAATGGCTATGGCCTGTTGCACATCAACTAGAAGCAATCATTTCAAACTCCAAGTGAAAAATGCTGGCAACGTATGCTTTCTAAACATTTTCTTAAAGTATATAAACATTTTGTTTGTTGAAAACAGTTTTGTTATATATCCCAGAGTCACTTTCTTGGCTCCCAAGTGCTAGGATTATGGGTATAAGCCGCTATGCCCTTATGTGATAGGGACAGAACCCAGGGCTTATGAGTGCTAGGTAAACACTCTATCAACTGAGCTACATGCCCAGCTCATTTTTGATGGTGCTAAGCCTGAACCTAGATCCTTGCACATGCAAGACAAGTGACCTCTGAGCTATGGCCCCCGCCCTACATATATTTTTTGAAAACACTGACTAGGTCTTCCTACACTACAGGTCATTTATGAATCCAATCTCTCTTTCTGAAACCTAGACTTCAAAAGCATGTAGCCCACACTACCACCTTCTGCCAACTGCATGCTTCTACACACAAACACCAAGCCTTACTGTCATGGTTTGCCAGGACAAATTCCCCTTCATACAGGCCGTCACTGAACCCCATGTTCCATACAGACAGCAGCTCATTCAGAGCTGGGATGTTGGCTCCTCCAGTATCTGGCATCCACCACTGCCTGTAAAGTGGCAGCAAAAGAGAAGGCAAGAATTAAAATCCTCCCATACACTTCCTCTTTCCTTGGAAAAACAGGGTCTCTCTGTCACAATCCAGTCCACACAGACATACAAAAGTGTCAACTGGAACAAGCTGTTTGGCTTGAGAAATATGCAAACCTACTGCTCCAGCCAAATTGTATGCTTCTCCCCACAGACAGTACTTCACTCGAATGCAACCCAGATAGGCCTAGTCTAGATCTAGCCAGAGCAAAGACGCAGAAGTGAAAAAGGAGGACAGAGAGGCTAAAGAAAGCCCACAACACAACACTAACATTTCCAACACTCTAGCCCCCAGTGCTTAGCAGTTACCCATACAGGACGTCTCTCTGAGTAACAGTTCCTTACGTGCATGTAAATTTCACATGTTCAGCATGAAGGATGCAGGACAGAACAGCGTGAGACAGAAACCAGAGCACAGTGTCTGGGCTCAGTGAGAGAAGACAATGACCCCTTAATGAGCACTGAGTCCAGAAACCTGTCTTTCTTGTACGCAGACAAGAGCTTTCTCTACCCATACTCCAATACCAAGGACCACCCCCAGTTAAAACAGTCACACAAGAGTTTGCTGGGGGAACTGTTATGCAACTGTACCTTGTGTTTTCATCATAAAATTTCACTTTTCTCATAACAGAAGTGTTGTACCAGTCACTGAAGATGACAAGGGAAAGGCCATTGTCCACATCCCTCCTCAGCTTAGCAATCTCCTCAGGGAAGTACTCTTCCTCACTGTCCACCATAAGCAAAGTGCCTGATGGAAGAAATGCCACAGTTGGGAACTGTCACTGCTGAGCGGCAGAAGACAATTCAGAAGCACCATCTCTCGCCGGTGCCCTGCCTCTAGCAATCTGGTTGGTGCCACCCTACACCACCACAAGAGAAGATGAGACACTCAGGACCAGGGTCCAGCAAGCCATAAGGACCAACTAACTCTGCTCTTTGGTTTTCATATATATAAAGATTTTTCATTTACTCAGGAAAAGAGTAATATATAGTGATAGTATAAGAAACAAACAAACAAACAAACAAAAAAAGACTGAGGGCTGGAGAGATGGCTCAGAGGTTAAGAGCACTGGCTGTTCTTCCAAAGGACCTGAGTTCAAATCCCAGCAACCACATGGTGGCCCATAACCATCTATAAAGAAATCTGGTGTCATCTTCTGCCTGTCGGCTCACACACAGACAGAATACTATATAAAAAAATAAATCTTTGAAAAAAAAAAAAAAAAAGACTCAGCCAGCAAGATGGCGCAGAGTTTAAAAGCTCCTTCCATCAAACTTGAATTCAATCCCTAGGATCAAAAGGAGAGCTGACCCCTCCAAGTTGTCCTCTGACCACACACACGCTTGAAATAAAAATAATAAAGAAAAAAAAAAGACTACAAGTATCTCTGTTCACAATCAGTTCTGTACTCAGCCAAGAGTCCCAACCACCAGTGAGCATGAGCATCATGGGAGTCTCACCACTTGGACACGGGGACTATCCCAGATTCCCTTTATTGGCGCGTCAGTAACCACTGTGGGAGTATTCAACACACGTCCAGCAAGGCAGCTCACCATATTGTGTCGCATCAAAGCATGTGAATGGGGCACCGAGCACCTCCACGAAGTAGCCCATGCTGCGCAGATGCTGGTACATGTCCCTGAAGTTGGTGTGGACATGGTCGCCATTCCTGAAAAGCAACAACCACAGCATTCAGATGGCCACTCTCTGCAAGTCACAACAGGACCACAGAGCTGTTCCTAGAAGCCCAGATGCCAGCCTTTCCAGGGTTGCATTATCTCGGTCAGACAAGCTAAAGCGCTAACAAGAGAGAACTGAGTGCATGGCACGTGAGATGATAAGATGATGCAGAGACAAGGCTTAGGATGTCCTAAGCAAAGCTGGAGCGATGGCTCAGAGGTTAAGAGCACTGGCTGTTCTTCCAAAGGTCCTGAGTTCAATTCCCAGCAATCACATAGTGGCTCACCACCATCTATAGTGTATTCTGGTGCCCTCTTCTAGCTTGTACGCGTACATGCAGGCAGAATACTGTATAAATAAGAAAAATAATAAATAAAAAAGATGCCCTGAGCAGTACTCAGAGGCAGCCATTAACTTACTAGTTGCCACCTGCACTTGACAATCAGCACAGGGATGCAGGACTGGCACGCTGCACAGGTTAAGCAAAGATTCCCTATCACCTTGGCTTGCTTTCCTTTCCAAGCATGCTCACTTTTCCTCTGTACAGATAGATAAAATTGTCTATACGCCTGGCAGAAAACCCAAAGCCCATCTCCTCCGTAATGACCACTTGACAGGCTCCTGTGCAAGCCCATGGCCTTGCCTGATGTCAGTCTCCCCTATTCGTATTACCTATCTGATCTGGACCCACAACCTGTCTTTCAAAAAAGACCTTAATTAGAAATAAAAAAGGCAACTCATACCCTGAATCAGGATACTGTCCCTAGAATCCTGGTTAAGCTAGCGTAATAGTACAGACCTTTAAGCCCAACACTAAGGAGGCAGAGGCAGGCAGATCTCTCTGAGTGCAAGATCAGCCTAATATGTGGAATGAGAAATCATGTCTCAAAAAAATAAAAAATAAAGCAAGCAAAACAAAACAAAATCCTGGTCAAGCAGTATGATACGTCCCTTCTGCCACACTTTCAACATGGGGCCTAAGCTTCACTTTATACTAAGAGAAACAACCCTGGCTTTGAAACCAAGAGAAAGGTGGCTTAGATGTCCTGCAGGAGCAACAAGCAGGACAGTGTGTGTCAGGGCAAGGAAGGGAGGCAACCCAGCCTTGGAAGTCATGCTGGCCACACAGGTTCAGCACGATGAACAGTCTGAAATAAGCTGTGGGGAGTGCTTGCTTTCAGATGACCACGGTGGCAGACATGGCAGATGAAATGCAGGGAAGCAAGAACAACAGAACCAACACTTGTCAAAAGGACAGAGACACCATCCAGGCCTAAGTTAGAACCAAAGAAAGGCCACACATGGGAGGATGTGGGGACAGAACCTGACAGTGCCAGCTGACTCAGTGGTAGACAGGGAAACAAGACAAAAGAGGACAACGTCACAGTGTCTGCCACAGAAGTGCATGTTTAGAGAAGTCAGGTCTCCCAACAGTGGCAGAAGAGCCCTAGGGTGGCAGGGCGCAGGCTGCTGCTCACCAGTCAAGAGGATCATTCTTCATCCGCAAGTTGTCCCTGGGAAAGTAGCCTGGAGGGTAGCGGAGGTTGTGGTACTGGTCCCAGAGGACTCTCTTGCTCCGAGGAGGGGTGGGAATGATCTTCACCTTAATGGGAAGCTTCACTGTGGAAGTGTGCTCTGCATCGTTTTTTGACTAAAAAAGAAAATGGATAAAACAGAAACTTGAAAGGAACGCCTTTCTGAAAAAAACCTTAGTTTAAGTTTTAAAGTACCTTTTCCTCTTTTTCTTTTGTTTTTGAGATAAGATCTCAAACTCAGGATCTTTCTGCCTCAGCTTCCAGGTGGTGGGATTACATGCAGCAGAACCATACCAAACTATAAAGGTTGTTTCTCTTTACCCATTTAACTCACACAATTTAAATACAAGAATGTGTGACACTAACATATGTTCATATGCTGCAATGAACTCTTTTCAAACTCAAGAAGAGCTGAAGCCTTGAAATGCAGGCATTCTTGTCCTAAAAGCCACCAGAGCCAGGCAAGGTCAACCCATATCTCCTTCCTGGGAGACCAATTTCAGATGTACTCATTTTGAGCTTACAATCAGGCCCAAGAAGGTCTGGTTTGCTGTGATATAGCAGCAGAACATGAAGCAGAGTAAGGCCCTGGTCCATGGCTCATAGCCAATGAGACCAATCCATTAAATGGTTCATTAAATGGAGACTCTCAGCTCTGAATCTGCCTCCCCCCTCTGCTCTCCTGGAAGGAGCTGGTAAAGGGTAAAAAAACAAAAAAAAAAAAACAAAAAAAAACAAGCCACTTCCTGGTGCACCCTTACTTCCGTCTCTGCCGGGGAAGCCACTGTGATCATGATGTGGCCCTGAGCGATGCCTTCCCAGGAAGCTGCCTTCTTGGTCACAGAAATGGAGATGGCCAGGTAGCCTGACCAAGGCCATAACACTGAGGAGTAGGAGAAGGCCACTTCAATGTTGTCTCCATTCTGTGGTAAATAGGGCCGCCACTCAGGCTGCAGGAAAAAGAAAGCAGGTCAACAGTGAAGTGAATGGTGTGGATGCAAAAGTGAATTCTAGCTGAGCTAAGCTGCCTGTTGAGGACTGTCTCAGTGCGCAGGGTAGACGGAGTCTTGGACGCAGACACGCTGTCTGTGGTCTGCAGCACCATTGCTGTGGGTGTTCTGCAAGGTTATAAAAACTCTGCCATCCCCTAAGAAACAGGGTGCACTTGTCAAGAGTTCCCTGAGAAAGAACTTGTACCACATGAAAAGAACCGACACAAGTTATTCCCTCAGACCTGTCCTCAGAGAGTCACACTGAAGTGTCACAGACGCCAGCTGTCACCAAACAAACCTTTCAACTAGGGAGGGGCACCTGGAGGAAGGTCTGTGCACTGGCTGTGTGTGACTTTCCTGCTGTGTGACTTGCACATCCTATGGTGTGACACACACACACACACCCAACAGGCCAGAAGAAGGAGGCATAAAGAGATCACCTGGAAACCAGGCAGACCCAAAGTACTAACTCCCTCACAAGCCACAGAGGCACAGAACAAGGGACCTGCCCAAGTAACCTGGCATAAAACAACAATAACAAAAAGTTCTGAAAAAGACCCTGTAGGAAATAGTACCACATACCCAGCTGTAATGACCGTGCTTAGGCCACAGGTTAGCAACTAAGAAAAAAATTTACCTTCCATCCATCTCATATGCAACGAACACTGACAGATGAGCAAATCCAATGTTTAATCACTGAATTAGTGCAGTGTTAGTATGACTGTATATGAAAAGTACAGAATTAGTATAGATATAAAACTGACTTTACCTCTGTGAGATGGTTTCTAGTATCTCAAACAACAGAAAAATGACTAAAGATGGAAATTCAACGATATCAAAATACAAAAATTTTACAGAAGTGAGGATTAATACAACAACCCCTGTAAGTCATATCAGAGAACAGGAAAACAATAGCCTGGGGGTGGAGTGGTGTGGGGAACTACAAAAAACCAAACCAAACCAAAAAAAGCCAGCAACAGCTCTTTTCTAAGTGCAGAGACACTGTAAGAGCAGCAGGGGGAACTCCAGTTCCAGCAAAAGCAGGCAAGGAAACACAAAGGTAACTGGCACTAAGAGACTTCAGTAAACACACAGAGACTTCAGTAAACACCCATAGAGCTGCTTTACAAGCTTCACTAAGCACAGCACCTAGTTCTAAAGACCCACACACACCCACAGGCAACGCCCACATACCAGACTAAAGCTTTTATGAAAAGGAATAAAGGACTGAATGACGCATAAGGAACCCTGAGAACATTTTCACTGAGAAAAGCCAGTCATAGCAGGACACGTACCACGAGTCTTCTAGAATAGACTGTATAGAGCAGGCAGATCCAGAGATGGAAAGCAAACTGAAAAAGGTGTGGTATATGCCTTCAAGCCCAGCATTTGGAAAGCAGGGGCAGACGGATTTGTGAGTTTGAGGGCAGCCTAGTCTACATAGCAGTTCTAGGGCAGCTAGGGCTACACAGAGACCCTGTCTAAAATAAAATAAAAAAAATAAAATAAAATAAAATAAAATTAAATTAAATTAAAATAAAATAAAAAATAAAATAAAATAATAAAATAAAATAAAAAATAAAATAAATAAAATAAAATAAAATAAAGGAAACAAAAAGAAAATAAAAGGAAAAAGCAGACCGACGGCCACAGGGACCAGGGAGGAGGAAAGGGACAGAATAAATCTGTACATAGTGAGTTCTAGATGCAAGGCTGGTATAGTAAAGTGAACACACTAACAACACACTCAAAATCAAGATCCTCCTGAAATAGAGAAATGAGAAAGATGTGTTACCCAGTGCAAGCACGATGCAGACGTCTCCACAGAGAGCACCAGCAGCACTCTGGTGCACACAACCCTCTTGGGGGCGATTCGGTGTAAGCACTAACAGCTGCAGTAACACCTCCACCCTGACCGGGGTCCTCAGGGAGCGCATGCTGAGGAGGTAACTCAAAAGAAAAGAAAACTCTACACTAACAGCAGAATATTTACAGGTGACAGCCACACAACTGCTCAAGCAAAGACACACAGTGACCAAATGATAACCCAACACCCCATCAAGCTGGGACACTGACAGTACACTGCTCTATTTTCAGACGCTTACAGTGGAAGAACCGAAATAAATTTCTGCTCACCACAGTGACAACAAACCTTGCTCACCACACAATGACAACAAACTTGACATGCTGTTGCAAGACGGTCTGGTAAAGAACATGTTCTAAAGAGTAGCTAGGTCCTGAAGGTGGAAGTCAATTTTCCATGTTTCCCCTCTGTACCTTATCACTGTGAAGTCCACACAGTGAGTGGTTAGAAAACAAGAGAAGTCAAATTAAAACAAGAACCTAACCTTCCAGTATTCCGTAAGAAACAGCGTCAGTCTCATTGGTCGGTCACTATAAAAACTAAAATGTACTCCAACATTCAGAAGCCAAAGCCAGAGACTCAGAGGCCTTGACTTTTCTGTACAGGATCAGGTATTTCTTTCTGTAAGGAGCTGCCCACCACTGCTCTGAAGCGTAAGCAGGTGAAAACAGTCCCTCTCACCCTTTCCAAGACAGTTTCTCTGTGTAGCCCTGTCCTCAAACTCGCTCTACAGAACAGGGTGTCCTCAAACTCAGAGAGCTGCCTGCCCCTGCCTCCTGAGTGCTGGAACTAAGGGCCTGTGCCACCATGCCCAGCTCAGCCCTCCTGTCTCAACTTCAGGCGGGGTAACTCAGGAGGGGTAACTGAGTACAAAGTTGGGGCCATGTCACACAGAGAAGTTTCACCTTGTCCACAATTCTTCCTGTGACTCCCATGCCATTGAGGATGGTGACATTAACGATTGTTGGCATTCCTCCATAGTAGATGGGCTGGGAGCAGTAGGGCCACATGTAGGGACACTCAGTCAGGTCGATGTAGCTAGGACTCAAGCTGAAACAAGGAAGAGAGCGTTACTGCAGACCACACCGGAGAGCAATGGGGAAGCGGGCACCAAGCTGGGCAGCACGTGGAACTGCACGTTAAGGCCCTGCTGGTAGGGCTGCCTGGCTGGCACTGGGTGAGTCCACTGTGCTGCTCCCTGCCCGCTGTGGCAAACAGCACAGATGCTCAGGAAGAACCTCTCACCTCCTGTAGTCGGGGGCTCTGTCAGCTGCTGTGGCAGCAAACCAGGAACTGCCGTTATAGGGGACGTTCTTAGAACACACCCACGTATTGGTGCAGCTGCTGCTTAGTCAACAGGACAGCTCTGCTTGGGGCTGGACAGGAGGGGAAGCAAAGGAAGCCTAAGTCTGGGTGCCTCTAGACTCCCTGCCCATCAGCTTCCTTCCTCACTTAGAGCAGGTACCTCTGTGTGCTTGCTCTGCTTCGGCACACACACACTCAGCTGAGACCCATAAAACCTTCCAGCAAAATGCTAAGCCTGGAGAGGTCAGGGCCTGGCTGAGAGGGTGCAGACATTCTTTCATCTGCAGTGTCTGAAATGCATCTGTGCCAGGTCAACACTATTCTTACAAACATTGGTGTCACATATCTCCGTGCAGTAGAGAAGACACCCAGGAAGTGGAGGCAGCAGACAGACGGTGGGCATATGACTCTGTTCCTGCTTCATCTTAAAACACATCTGAGCAAACTGAATTACTACATAAAATCTCAACATTATCTTTGTGTACATGTTTTCATGTGCAAGTGTTCATGTGATATGCACAAGGAGGCCAGAGGTCAACCTCAGATATTGTTTCTCAGAATCAATGTTCAACTTGTTTTACAGCGTATGGTGCCTCACCAGAACCCGAGTCTAACAGATTCAGCTAGACTGGCTGAATAGCAAACTCCAGAGCAGGCCACTGTATTCAGTTTTTTTTTTTTTTTTTTTTTTTTGGTATGTATTGTGGGGACTAAATTGGTGACCTCATGCTTGTATAGCAAATGCTTTACAGATTGGACCATATCCTCAGCTTCCCAAACAACATCTTCAGGGATATTCTGACTTCTATGGGAATGATAATCAACATGCGTTAGAGTGAGCCATTGCCCACAGGCACCACTTTGTCTCACTCCTAGAGGTTGGCTGTGTGGCTGCCATTGTCTGAGTCAATAAAAGTATCTTCCATGAAACTGTTTCATCAACAGTTTAAGCCAACTAGCATGACTGAACTAAGAATTCATGAGCAAGCACAATTCAGGGTCATGAAGAAATAGCCTACCATGGCCAAGCAGTGGTCGTTTCAGGAATAAAGGACTGGTTTGATGTCAGGAAGGTTACGACCATTAAGTCTAACCTGCAGGCATCTTATCAACACTGAACCCATTTATAAAATTCTAAGCATGGTCTTGGTATGAAACACTACAGAGAAGAGCATCTAGGAATTCCTATCACGACACATGCTATAGTGAGTCCCAAAGGAAGCACTGTATTTAGTGAGAAAATACTGTGGAGGAAACGTAGGGATACCACTGGCCTCAGCCTCAGCACTTTACCCAGTCCAAGTGGACAGAAGAGTAAAAAAAAAAAAAAGCTTTAAAAAATGTTAAAAAGTTTTAACTATGAGAATGTGTGTAAGTTTGTGCACTCAAGTGCACCCTGTGCAGGAGCCTGCAAAAGTTAAAGCACAGATCCCCCTGGATCTGGAGTTACTGGCAACTGTCAGCCACTGTGGATGCTGGGAACCACACTCGGGTCCCTCCACAAGAACAGTATATACTTTTAAACACTGAGACGTGACGCTAGCACCAACAAAGGCTTAAGAGTTGGTAAGAAAGATAAAATTACCTCTCCTTCCAATTACATGATATGTTAGTATATCCAGAAAACCAGAGAATCAATAAGCAAATTGAATCAAGCCATAATTCAAAAGACAGCAGAATATTAAATTATAAGAATTACATCAACCAGCTAGAAGCTATTAACAAAAGAGAAAAGCTTGGCAATAATGACAATAAAAAGATTAAACACTTAAACTTACCAAACAATGTGTCAGAGTACAGGTGGCAACTGTAAAGCCTCTTTGGAGACAAAATCCTTGAGCAAATAAAAACCTTAGAGCCATGGCACAGCCAGTATGAGCACAGACTAGGGAACTAGAAAGATGTCTCAATGGTTAGGACACCACTCTCTTCCAGGGACCCTGAGTTCCATTCCCAGCACCCACATGGGAAATAACAAATGTCTGTAACTCCTATTCCAGGGAACCCAACACCCTCTTCTGACCTTCATGGGAACCACACACACGTGGTAGACATACGTATGGTGGACACACATACGTGCAGGCAAAATACCCATATACATCAAATAAAAGAATGGTCTTGCAGAGGACCTAATTTTGGTTCTCAGCACTCATGCTGTGCAGGTCACAGTTAACCCGCTTCTTAACTTCAGGCCCAGGGGGCTGGATGTCCTCTTCTGATCTCCGCAGGCACTGCATTCACATGCACCCCCCCCCTCTCCTCTCCCTCCCAAAACACAATTTAAAACATATTAAACCGTTCTTCCTTGGCTGATTAACCCAATAAAAATGCCAACAAGCTCTCTTATGGAAGAACGCGCGCGCACACACACACACACACACACACACACACACACACACACCAAACCAAACCAAACCAGAAACAAAAACACCAAAAACCCTCCAAGAACAGCCAAAAAGACAAACAGCAGGAACCAGCTCTATTGCACATTGAAGCACAAAAGTTCTTTAAGAGAAGAGAGTGGCAGTGGCATGTGGGCAGAGCAGCAGACTGGCACCAAGAACCGAGAAAAATCCAAATCCATGTAAAAGTCAAATGAAGGACATAGAACAAAAGTGCTCCAATGGGTCCTGGACCAGAAGGGCCTTTGTGGGACCACAGGTGACCTACAGGCCAGACTATGATGCTGTCCAGGTGGTATTTCAGACTGGGCATCTTGAACTGATGCCATTAACATGTTGACCTCAGAGAAAGCTGGGAGAACCCAGAACTTCTGGGTTCTCTGTACTATTTCTGAAACTTTGGTGTAAATCTAAAATCATCTCAAAATAAAGTATGTTTTGGTGAAAAAGTCTCAGACCAATCATGAGAAAATAGCACACATATCCTCACGAAGACAATTTGTAATGCAAGTATCTGGTTCTTTGCTCCAAGAACCAAAGCATAAATAACAAAACACAGACAAATCGTCAGGGGCCAACGACCAAAGACCAGGCTAACAAATCACAATGTAGAGACTGGAATAGGAAAAAGAACACAAGGGGAAGCATACAGTCTGAGCGGCTACAGCGGCCTTTTCTACAGAGCCTTACATGTGACTTTCAATAGTTGTGTCAGAGGAGCTAAGCTGTCTTATCAGGGAAGCAGAGCCAAAAGTATATGACAATTCTATTTTTGTAAATTTTCTGCAAACCTAGTTTGTTTCAGAAGTGTTAAAGAAATGGAAATCATTCTTTACATCCATTAAGGCAACAGAGTATCAGCCGGGTTTTTGCAGGCATTATCTTGTAGAAGCAGCTTATAACCTTACAACTGACCCTGAGTGGGGGCAGGGCACCACTCTGATGTCAGGCTACTACTGTGTGTAGGGGACCCCCAGGGCCCAGGATAGGAAAAGCCTGCTGAGAATGCCAGCACATACCCACCTCGCCTGTGGTTTGTAGCTGCTGAGGATCTGATAGGCTCGCAACAGATCCAGCTTGCCATGGCCTTGCTCAAACATGTTGACACCAGGAAGCCTCCGGGCTGATGCTATCAAGGCTTGCTTCACACTGGCAGGATTCACCAGCTCCCGCTTCTGTACCGTGCTGGGGAAAGAGAAGCAGTATTTGCTCACTTTTCTCTCAGTGTAGGATGAAAACCAAACTGCCTTCAACTGGCACAAGGGTCAGCACGTGGTCTGCAGTCAGGACTTCCTGGTGCAGTGGAGCCATGAGATGAGAACACTGTGAGCTCAGTGGTTCCTTGGGGCAGGCCTGACTACTCAGCAAAGCTCCACAAGACTTTTCTCAGCAGTGACTTCATAGGCCCATTTATACAAAACTCATAAATAATACAGTTTCCTGATAATCTGAATAATCAGTCACACAGGTTACAGGAGGAAAAATCATCAAAGAGGTGCAGGGTCCTCAGGGAGGGACACCTGCTGGCTGGGAGATGTTAAGAAATACAGGTGGATATTGGAGAGGGACCCAATGCAGGGTGGGCAGGAGGTACAGGGTGAGGGGAGATCACTGGCTCCAGGGCCAGTCCTTGTCTTTGGGTTGGGATGTGGAGACCTGAGGCCACTGCAAGCATGCTGCTGTGCTACATCTCAACATGTAGCCTCGCTTGGCCAGCTCAGTTTATTCTAACTCTGAAATGTTCATGTACCATTTCATAATTAATTTAATTTAATTTTATGTATGTTAGTGTGAAGGTGTCAGATCCCATGGAATTGGGAGTACAGATAGTTGTGAAATGCCATGTGGATGCTAGGAAGTCCTTTGGAAGAGCAGACAGTGCTCTTAACCACTGACCCATCTCTCTGGACCCTACAAATAAATTTTAATGACTAAATTGTGAAAGCCGGGCAAATAAAGAAAACTTACTTTCCTACTTAGCCCCCTATGTGTTAGCTAATGATGGAGGTAAATCTGAGAGCCAAGGCAGGATTTTTTAATGGTAACGTGACAGTAAAAGGAGACAGGGGGACTAGCTCTTCATGAGAAATGAGAGTACTACCGGCAGTTACAGATCAGCAGACTGCCTTTCCTCATCGGGCAGCATCGGCACATTGCACAGGCTCCTGTAGCCAGCGCACTTGCTGAACTGCCACAATGGCAACTGATGTGAAGAGCTGTAAGGTAAAGGCTCCCTCATCGCCGAAGCCACTTTTGTTGAGAGGTACTATTCTCACCTTCCCACTCACTTGGCAGGAGACAAATGATGGGCTCTACAGACAAGTGGGATGCTTGGCTTCATGCGAACAATTATGTGACAAGTAAAAAAAGACTAGTATTTTGTTTCCAGAATTCACAGCAGTAGGAACAGAGCCTGCACAGACTCCTTTACTCAGCACATTCAGCAGTGAGGCAGGCGCTGTGAGTCTGCCTCCGTCCTTTGCTGTTTTATAGGGGAGAGGAGCACAGTGCTCCCAGAAGGCACACACTTATTTCTGAGCAACGAAGACACTTTTCAGGAACCTGGCTCTGACTTATAGGGGAAGGTCAGGCAAGAGACAGACTCCGCTCCTGTCAACATTATTAGTAACATAATTTCTGCTTTAGAAACTAAACTTGCAATTAGCTTAATAATAAAATTTCAAATATGTAGAGAAAATGTGTATGATTACAACACCACCCTCAATAAGAGAAGAAGAAAGCCTGATGCCAGGGGAAATGCAAGTACTTCAAAGGTGTAACTGAGAAAAAGGGCTTTCTGCTTTACTCCAGCTTCTGGGAGCACACAGAGGGCGCCCCACAGGGAGCAGACAGCGAGGTTAGCTGTGCAATACTCACCTGACTAACAAGGTGACAGCTCCAGCGACCACTGGGGAAGCGACACTGGTCCCTGAGAGTGCCCGGCAGCCCCCCTTCACACCGGAACCCCGCACTCCAGCACCATATGTGACAATGTCAGGTTTCACACGACCATAGCCTCCTGGTAGTTCCTACAAACAAGGGTAGCCTGGTTTCTCATCACATCTATAGCCCTGAGCCATGGAGGGTTATGTGTGAATAAAACCAGACAGCTTTAGACAGTCATCTGAGAAGATGCTGGTTTGAGCCTGAAATACACTGTGAACTGAAGACAAACTTTAGTGGTAACATAAAATTAAAATTGCTTTAGTATGTTTTGTAATATTAAAATAGCAAAGCAAGGAAAAATAATTTTGCTAATAGTTTAGTAATTGCTCAGATCAGAAAGCAGTCACCGACTTGTCACTGAGTGAACCAGCAGCCTGCTCTATCTTCTGATAATCAAGAAATATGTCACAGAATTGGGAAACTAAAACAAGAAAATATTTACAAATGTCTTTTTTATGACTCTTTTAAAATTTTTATTTATTATGCATACAGTATTCTGCTTGCATGTACACCTGCACGCCAGAAAAGAGTACCTGATCTCATTATAGATGGTGGTGAGCCACCATGTGGTTGCTGGGAATTGAACTCAGGACCTTTGGAGGAGCAGTCAGTGCTCTTCACCTCTGAGCCATCTCCCCAGCCCTTTACAAGTGTCTTTATAGGTAAAAATAGCACATGGTTATGATTAGCTGTTTAAAAGGGTAAGGTACCACTGAGGACAGACACGCCTGCACAGACATTACTCTTTTCAGATCCGGAAAATCTACTGGTCCATAGGAGATATACAAACGGATTTTAAACTAACCCCCATCCCAATCCCACCTTCTCTCTGCATCTCTAGACATGGTCTTGTTGGACAGCACACACTAGACCTGAAGTTTTTTGTTATCTTTAGTTCTCTTCTCCTGAGTGTGCCACCATCCCTGTCCAAGAACTTAACTTATATTCTCCTGAGAAAAAGTATACCTATTTGAAATGAAAATCGTTCCCTGGCAACCAGCCATAAAGAGAGTGTAGAAGCATGGGCACAGTGTGGAGACACTGCTGGCTACAGCAGCACAGACGGCTCAGAAACATTTCTCAATAGTACTGAAGAAGCCCTCGAGGAAGGCCAAGGCCACGGATGGCAGCACGTAAGTTGGTGCAGGGAACTGAGGTGACACTGACAGATGCTACCCTTGCTACTTGACAGCACAAAGAACGTGCTGGGAACACAGAGAACACACAGTGAGTGCAAACCTAACTCAGGGTAGGGTCTATCAGACCAGACCATTCGTCAAGGCACTGAAGGGGTCAGCTCCAGAGATGGCATCCTGTGTGTGAGAAACAGAGACCAGCAGCTAATGGAGCCTACACTGTATGACTGAGGCTGTCATGGAAGATTGTTCTAGCGTGCTGCTGGGGGCAGAAAAGGCCTATGTGTTCCCAAGAAGCTGTCAATCTTTCTGGGCCCTTCTTTTAAATCTCCCAGAACTTAGCCCATAGTCAGATTAGAGCAACGAGACATGTCCTGACCCCAAAGAACACTAGGGACAGGTGTTCCCCAGTCACTCGAAGGTTAAAATGCTCAAGTGCTCTTCTGAAGGAACCAAACCGAGGTAAAGAAGGGTCAAGTGACACACACTCAAACCCCCTGCAGCTCAGTCACTAACACTGTGACTGGGAATGATGATGCAACGGCTCTGTTTGCAGAACTGAGCTCAGCTATGCTCACTGGGCTTTCATTTTCAGTGTAGGCTGGGTGGAACCTGCAGCTGGCACTTGCCAGCCAGCGCTCTACCATGAAGCTAAACCACCAACCTCGGAATTTACTTAGGGCCAAAGATAAATGTAAGCTTGTACTGAAGAAAGTTGCTGTTTTCCTCCCATTTGGACAACTGAGCCTGAGTCAACTTCACCTATATACGAGCTTCAGAAGATAGCAAAAAGACTGGAACTGGAAAATGCCCCTCAGAATCCACCAGGGTCTTCTTGACAGCTCAACTCACTGATCTAAGGTGGCTAACACCAAAAGAGCCTGCTCCTGTCTTCATAGGGGTGCACATAGCCACAGCCCTGGCTACTTGTCTGCCTGTGCACTGACAAATGCATGTCAGAGCTCTTAGGTCAAGGGCTCCATGAGTTACATTACGCTAATACAGAAAAGCATACCCAGGTAGTCATTCCCCTGGAAGAAAAGCGGGCGATGTTATCTTCAAAGTCAATGCCACCCACTCCAATCACATCCATCTGATCAGCAGGGTTATTCAGAGTGCTAGATTGAGACACACAAAAGAAAAGACAAAAAAAAAAAAAAAAAAAAGGGAAGAAAAACAATTTAAAATGAGCAATTAAACCAGGTCAAGCACTCCCAGAAAAATCTAAGGCCATTTCTCAGAATGGATGGGTCCATTCTGAGTATTTCTCTTCCCTGGATTCCAGGCTCAATCTCTCCCTCAACTTCCCCAGAGCATACACATCAGTTTCTCACTCATCTACATGTTCTCACACCACTGTGCGGTCCATTCAAGTGTGTCAATTCTGTCTTTTTCAACAAAACGGACACTATATGAGATGGATCCAGATCCATAGTGTGTTGCCACAGCTAAACTTATGGTATGCAAGCCATTTCTTCAAGAGAATGTGGGGAACGCTACCTTCATCCTGCAATCTTGAGCCCTAGATAACAGACAAATGCCAGGACCTTATAGCTCCAGATCTGCACAAACACTATAGTGAAATGATTGATTAGTCACAGCCAGACAAGGTAGTGCACACCTTTAATTCCAGCACTCAAGAGGCCTCTATGAGTTCGAGGCCAGCAGTGAGAACCTTCAGCTTCTTCTCCCGGAGACACAGGTGGGGACTAGACTCAAAGAAGATGTGCATGAGTCAATGGTAAACAAGGGGAAGCCAAAAGTTCTAGCAAAGAGCTGGCACACTGCCATAGTGTACGTCCGGCTTCACACCTGTTTCTGCATGTGTAGCTTTAGTGGAACACGGCCAAGCTTGTCCACTTCCCCATTTCCTATGGCTGCTTTCACATCCCAAGGGCAGAGACCATCTGACCAAAGTCTACACTCCCACTCTCTGACATTTCAGAAAGTTTGCCAGTTCCACCTAGTGTATCAAAGAAGAACAATGTGGATTTCCCAGTAGGCATATTTGTCTACCAGAAAAGTGCTGCAGTGTTCGCTTGCACAGCAGAAACATAGACCAAAGGAAAGAAGTAGCAGCTGAGAGTCAGGGCACATCTTCATGGTGCTCCCATGTGTCAGCGTCACCTGCACAGCACCCGAAAAGCAGGCCATGTCTGGTTCCACTCCTGTCCATGTTAACACAGCCAAGGTAACAGCCTAAACACAGGAAGAGGGCCCAGGAAACCGACAACCTGGGTGACTCTGGATTGAGTGGGATGTCAGAAATGGGAGACGTAGTATTTGGAAGAACAGGTAAAAAAGGAAAAAGAAAAGTTGACATCAGATGCCTCAAGAGCTGGTGCTTCCTATAGAAGAGGCACTTAGGGCAGGGCATGCCACTTATGTTTATGAACCACAGCACAAGAACCGTGGACCTCAAAAGGAATGGTCTACATACCAGGCTGCACCACAGGACTGCCACACGAACACCAGCTTCACATTGCTGGCCTTGTCCTACACTCTGAACACTTTGCCTGACCCCACCCCTGACCCCGCAGTGAGAGCTCCAAGGACATCTCAGCTAGATTCATGTGGACAAATGAGTAAATGTGTCCATACAGCCAGTTTCTCCCTCACTGCTCATGGCATCTTCTCCTTGCCCTTAGGTAACCTCATACCCTTGGTTCCAGTATTGAACTGCACCCCTCCTGAGTACCCCGTGGCTGAGGGTGACAAGTGTTCTACTACAGAAACGTGGCCAGAGATTGCTTATGAATGCCATCTGCAGAAGGAATGCCGGAGCTACAGGCAGAGAACTAAGACCTCAGCTTTGTGTGTTTACTGGGTTTTTGAAAGAGTCCTAGCTGTGCTGCAACTCATTATGCAGACCAGGCTGGCCTCAAATTCATGGCACTCTGCCTAGCTGAGATTAAAAGTATGCACCACCACACCCAGCAAGTTTTGTTTTTCAGTGGGGGGTGTTTCATGCCTCACATTGCTTTAATCCCAACAACTGGCATAGGGCATATAACTCTGCCTTCTGCTGCTCTTTTCACTGATCGTGTGCATTCCCACCAGGCAGCAGGTGTTTGCACCTGCTTTTGTGGGATGGGCAGACACTCATCCATTTGCTTCTTATTCACTGTCATAAATAGTGAGTATAATAAAAACAAACAAACAAACAAACAAAAAAAAAACACCTCAGAACCCACTTGTCCTTAACAAAACCCCTTATCCTAATTACTTTTTTGTTTAATTTGAAATAGGGTCTCATATAGTCCAGGCTGAACTTGAACTCCTGATCCTCCTGCTTCCAAAACTTCTCAAGTAATGGGATTACAGGTTTATGTCACTATGGCCAGCTTCTGGGTCATCATTTGTGTGTATGTGTGTGGGGCATACATACATTTTAGCACATGTAGGCATGTATGTGGATGTACATGCTTGAGTGTGTTGGTGGAGGTGAGAGGTAACACCAAGTGTCTTTCTCAATTATTTTCTACCTTATTTTATGAGGCAGGGTCTCTCACTAAACCAAAGCTCATCAACTGCTTTGACACGCTGACCAGCAAGCCCTAAGGATCACCCTCTCTTCATTCCTATCCCTAGTGCTTGGCTCACAGATACATCCAGCCACACCTGGCTTCTTATGTGTGTGCTAAAGGATCCAAATGCATTTCCTCATGCTGGCATGGCAAGCACTTTACCAAATGAGCCCTCTCCCAGACCCATTCTACTTTGGGGGAGGTCTCTAAACTACAGCTAAGTTGTTTTTTAAAATTAATATAAAAGACTGTTTTTTTTTCCATTTACAATGGTTGAAGCAGGTGGTGAGGACTTGGGGGTCATTATACATTTTGTTTTAAAAAGTAAAAACAGATCAACGTTAAGACAGATGTAAGCAATGACACATACACAGACACACAGACTGAAGACACAATTTCAGTTACTTCAGGAGAATAAGAATCCCTCATGTTACCCTGCTGGCATTACTTACCCATAAAGAGGTCCATCATTGCCGATGGCAGAAACCATGATTACATTGTTTGCAGTTAATTCCCACACCTACAAAATTATCAAGCAACTAGTTAATGAATGCTACCAACAACAAGTCACTGTCCCCAAACTGTGGAACTTGGGCAAGTATGCCCAAGTAGCACTCCAAGGCAGTGCTAGGCCCAGTGGGGAGATGGGTACATTGGGACAAGGGTTTGGAGGACAACCCCATGAACCTGGGGCTGGACAGTGCACTGCACATTGGTTCAGTGGCCAGGCTCATGAAAACAGAGTACAGGTTTAAGCAGAAAGGCATCAAGGCACCAGGGAGGCAGTAATGCTCCTTAAAAAGATTCGTTCCCAGGCCTCTAACCCACTGGGTTTGTGACACACAAGTTTCTGATGTTCATGTCATTAGCCATCTGCTTCACAAAGCTGTCATTACCTCAGTGAAAATGATGCACAACTCAGGGTATAAAAGCATAGGAGCTGTCAGCCAACACAGTGGCCCTCAAATGATTTGACCAACCTTGTCAACAAAGGGATGATCCATGAAGTCAGGCCCGCCGATGCTAAGGTTTAGAACGTCAATCTTCTTTAGGATAGCATAGTTGAAGGCGTCCAAAAACCAAGATGTGTAAGACACCTGGATAAATTGAAATAGTCCTCTAAAGGCCTCAGCAGAAGTGTAAAGAACTGTGACAGCTCTGGTTTCTAAGGACAAGCACATTCTTCAAAGCATGGGGACAAATCCCAGGCAAAAATGCTTCAGAATTTAAACATTACATCCACAAACTAAGTCCTGAAACTAGACCCAAGGAAGAGAGCTATGTTGTCTCTCCCTTCCAGGGGCAACAAGCAACCGTCTACCTTACAGCATGCCTCCTAGAGCTAGCCTAAGCTGCTAGCTGCCCTTATAAAAGGACCCATTCTAACACACTGCTTGCACGTTAAGCGCTTCTATAGTTGAAGGTATCTGTCTAACATCTTTCATTGCTAAAAAAGACTAAAGGACAAACAGAAACAACCACAGCCACTTCACAGGTCCTAACACCAGTGTTCTCTCTCTCTACTTTCCTTATGTTATGTAAATTCAATGTCTGAAATACTTCTGTTGTTGTTGTTTGTTTGTTTGTTTTTAAATACAAGCTAAGCCGGGCATGGTGGTTCACAACTGTAATCCCGGCACTTAAGAGGCCACAGCAGGAAAACTGCAATGAGTTTGAGGTCAGCCTGGGCTACACAGTGAGTTCCAAATCAACTGGGGCTACAGAGTATGTCTCTGTCGCAAAAGCAAAAGCAAACAACAAAAACACAAAATCATGGTCAGAGTGGGCAGAATTTACAGTAGTGATTTTTAAAGGCTTGTTAAAGTTAAACTGCATGCTGACATGTAAAAGAAATCCTAAGAGGCAACATAAGAAGCCAAGAACACAAGCTCAAAGAGAGGTGGAGGTGAGCTGAAAGCCATTGGAAGGAGCAGGTGTGCTGCCCTTGGATGTGCTGGAGCTCAAAAATCAAATTTAAATATGAGGGCTCGAGAGATGGTTCAGTGTTGTGACCACCAGTGTCAATTGTCATTTTGAAGAATCCAGAACCAACTGGAAGATGGGCCTGTGGTCACGCCTGGGGAACAGTTAGTTTCTTTATATATCTTCATTATATTCACACAGAAAGAACCATTTTATTTGTGTGTGGGTTCACAGGGCAGGGCACCTGGGGAAACAAAGTAGAACACTAGTTTGCATTCATTGCTTTTCTGCTTTGTGATTGTGGATCCTTGTGACCAGCTGCCTCAAAACTTCTGCCCACTTCCAGTCCATGATGAACAAAACCTTGGACAGTGAGCCAGAATCAATCCTTTCTCCATTAAGTTGCTTTTGAGAGTATTTTGCCACAGCAACAGGAAAAAAATTAAGTGGGCCAAGAGCTGGCTACATAAACATAACTGCAATGCACACATTAAAATCTGGGTGCAGTGGTGCATGCTTGAAATCTCAGAACTGGGGAGGCAGATCCCTGGGGCTTTTGTTGTCAGCCAGACTAGCCTAATGGCAAGCTCCAGGTCCCAGCTGTTTCAACACGGGCCTACATGTTTAAACTGGATCTCACAGCCTGAATCAGGCCAGGACCCCTCCTGTTAAACAATCTACACTGTGACTTGACAGCTCTCAATTTATAACACCAAGCTCTTTGCCTTGTATGTGACACTGAACTAAATCACACGAGGTGAAACTTACTGCCAATCTGACAATTTCTTTATTCTTGGGTTCTTGGAATGTGCTTTTTTTTTTTTTTAATTTTATTTTTCTTTTTAGTTACATTTTGTTAACTCTGTGTCCCAGCTGTATCGCGCTCCCTCATTCCCTCCCCAACCCCACACTTCCTCCCTGGTCTCCTCCCTGCCCCTTTCAGGGAGGTGCTTTGAAGGCTGCTCTCTAGAGGCTCCTCTGGCCTCTCCCCAATCCCTGGGAGTGAGCTCCTCATGTTTCCTTGTATCTCTAAGTCTCACTCTTAATCATGCTGCTCTCCAGGCCTTAAAGGGAAGCTTCTCTTTCCTTCTAGGGTCCCCTAATGCTTAGCTCTCCATATACTGTATTATTTCTGTCTAATGTTCTCTCTCCTATCATAAGGCCCTTTCTCCTAATGAAGGCATTGTATGAGGGGACTGTGGGTCAGCTGTCCTGGACTAATTGCTGCTGCTCTTCTCTTTATCTAGTACCAATGAGAGAGTCACTCTCTCCCTTCTTCCCTTTCCTCTCTCTCTCAGCAGCTTTTTCCTTTTCTGTTTCTAGATGAAATGGAGAACAAAGCTGTAAACCTTAGGTGCTAGGATATAGTGCCTATTCTCCAGCAGTGGGAACTGAACTGGGAGGCAAACATGCCATGAACATGCCATTATTCCATCTTAGAAGACCTGGACAATGAATGGCCTGGAGAGCTCAGGCAAGCCTGACTCTGAGGGACAAACAGATCAAAGAACCACAGTGACGATGGAGAAAGGTCTTCAGGACTGGGGATGGCTGATGAATAGTGCTGGGGAAGGACACACAGAAAACAGGATAGTGAGACAGTGAGGCACATGTTACAATAAGGAAGATTTGTCACAGCAGCGTGCCATTTGCAGTGGCTGTGCAATGGTTCTTTACTTTATAGCTCAGCTCTGAACACTCATGTGTTTCATGGCTCCTCAAACACCTACCTGATTGTTGGTAAAGACCCTGAAGATGTGCAGCTCTGCATCCGGGGCAAATCCCTGGCACTCCCGCATGCTGGCAATCACACCTGCGACAAATGTGCCATGGCCCAGCCCTGAAGCCACAGAAAAGGAAGTCCCATGAGACTGCTGAGGATGCACAACCAGGGATAACACTCAAAACCAATGACCATACACACCTGGTCTTGGAAACACATCAGCAGCCTCTGCTAAGGTCTGAGTCCCATAATCCCAACAGCCCTGCTCTTACTCTCCTTTGTGGGCAACTCCACAGGTAAGCTTTCTCAGCAGGTACCTCCTTCTCTCCCAGCCTCTACTCCCCCACATCACTTGATAGCCTCAGCAAAGCTTCTGTGTCCCTGGGCTTGTCTCGCATTAGAGACCCGCTCACAAGTATTGGTCTCCAGACCTAGAGACTTGCCCTCATCTGACTGGAACCTACCATCATCCAGGGTCCGCTCATTGGTCCAGTTGGTTCTCTCCTTCACATTCTTGAAGTGCGGATGCTTCTCACTGAGCCCAGTATCAAAGACAGCAACCCTGACATTAGCACCTTTTCTCAAAAAGAGAAAATAACAATCACATTGGGAGAAATAATCCTTCTTGATTCCTATCCATAAAATACCATTACTCTGAGGAAGCCACAGAAACAGGAAATCAAGAACAGGCCTCTAGGATAAAACACAGATCACAGATAAGTTCACACACCAGTGAAGACAGAGCTGTTCTGCCCTCATCAGCAAAACAAAGGGATTCTCACTAGTTCTGAGTCTCATTTATAAGACATGTCCTTCAGTTTCCTAAAACAAGTAGCCAGCTAGGGGGATGATCACTGAGTCACTCCACAACACTAAGTGAATAAGACTACTGGTCATGGAGCTGCCCAGCCCCAGCTGTCCATCTGTGAATGCTATCACCTT